TTTATAGAGCCTGAGTATTATTACATTAGATGGCGAGCAAAAAATAGAGCGTAGAATCGACCATGTGGCATTTTGGGTATTTAATTATTGTGATATAGCATCATTATGTGCTTACGTCATGGATCAGCACGGCCACCAAAGAGATCTAGCTTAGAATCGCCAATGACATGCGACCCACGGCGATTCTAAAGCCAAGATTGTTTCGAGGGGGTTATCTGCCTTACTTGAACTACTAGTATTCTCACAGTTTTCAATAAATGAACTAATGTGATAAAGTTTCATTCCTGTTTATTTTTAAAATCGTGCTGTTTTTACCGAAACGAGCGATCCATTTCAGTGCATAATTGTGTTATTCAATATTTGAGTGTAGACGAACAATGGAGTAATGAGCAGAACAAATTCTGGTACAGACATGCGCAATCAAGCGCCATTTATATTTTCGTACGACTCGCTTACTCCCCAGTCAGTAGAGTGGTCGATCATAGTTTGGAAGCTCGAAGGAGACCGAGTTCTAGTTCTGGGTCGTGTCTATAGACAAAAGGCGTCCTTTAAATGGCAGAGAAAGTTGCACTCTAACTTTCAGATCAAAGCAAGATGTCGTCAAGGGACTGAGTAACGACCTGAAAGTCCAGTAGGAAAAAATAAAACTCGTTTGGTTCTAGAGATCTTTATGAGTGTTCTGGCCTTAGTTGGCGGTTATTTTCTTAGAAAAGTACCACACAACACAGTAGTAGATGTCACGATCGTGGTTTAACCAATGTGATATCGACTATTTCCGTTTGTTTTATCATGAAGCTAAAATATATCTATTTCACCTCGATGGTTTTACGAGCGAAACACGGCTGGTGCACTGGTTTGTAGGGTAGAACCCCATGGAAACGTTATGCCTCGTAATGCTAGACAGATTCGGAGTCAATAGAGTAATATTCCTCTTATTGTGTATATCAGTGACGTAACGCAATGTCCAAATATATGCAATGATACGTTATATGGCATATTGTCCCAGGAATGGGTAAAATTATATGTTCTAAGCAATGGACGATATATTGAGTCATCAAAGACAGGCGACGTCATCAACAGTGGGAGATTACCTCGTAATCATGTGCTTAGTTTTTCCAGTTAATACAAAAAAAAAAAAAAAAAAAACGTTTTACAGTACACCTTTGCTATAAGTAGCGCCCTCAATCGACAAAGCGCTTCTAGTATGACGTAATGAGTGAAAGAAAAGCTCCTCACGGCGTCGATATTGTAGTAGTATAGTATATTTTATTTGACTCAAATTAATGAATTGGAAATACATTAACCATGGTCAATAATTATACACAAAAAAAACCTAATAACACGAAATACAGATATAAAAAATAAAATGTTAAAACGGATAACACTAACAACTATAAGGTATTACATTGTAAAATGATGTTGATAAACTTTCCTAGACTATTGGCAATGAAACATATTGTTTTAATATGTAGTCGTCCTTAAAGTGCAGTAGTCGTCGCGCTGCGCATGTTCGACATTTGTGTTGGTAAACATTGATTTTCCCACAATCCAATGTGCTTTTCAAATGGAAATCACAAGTATGAGGTTTGACCTGGGCTCGACTTGCACTGATTACCGCCAGGGACTCCTTCGATACCTTCCAATCACATGAAAATTACCTAATTAAAGCTTGGAAACCTGTCAGTTTGTATTCGTTGATCTGTGCAACAGTCAAAGTCGCCATCTTTGTTTATATGAGACCCATATATCTCGCACATGCGCAGCGCGACTACCGCGCTTTAAAATGTTTTGGTGATTGCTGTTTTCAAAATAACGAACCATCACGAAACCCAACAAACTCGCTTTGAGAGACATCTTCGGCTATTACGACACATATTTTCTTTGTAGCGGTTTTATAGTGATATTTTTATTCATTTCAATAACCAGCCTTGTAATTTTGAATATATTCCAACAGGGGAGAAACGCGCTCACGGAGAACCTTGTCAAGACGATCAACGCCTCCGGTAGGATACACATAACGCCAGCATCATTGGGCGACATGTACATCATCCGATTTGCTCTCTGCCACGAACATGCCTGCGAAGCTGACGTCGTCATAGCTTGGAAAATAATCGTCGAGATCACAGACGATTTATTAAACGTCAGTGACGTCACCAGTCATTGCCATGGCGGCGCCAGACACGCCACACCCAGCGCGTCTAGATTTATCCCGTCACGTGTCATGTCAGGTGCCCAGCAGGCCGAATCGTCTTCGTTGGAACTTGAGAAAAAAATGAATATTTTTCCCTGGAAATTCCAGCTCTCAAGGTTTGCCGGCTTAGGTACGTAGACTTGTTTGCTTCTACTTTTTCGTTACGACTTCCATGGGTTTTATACCCAACAGTGAGTTCTCGAATATTCCTTTTAAAAAATGTCCTTTTGGATATCACTAACAAACTAATACTTACTGAATATTATTTGTTGTTTTATCACTTAGCATGTGCCTCATTGTCTTGCCGACGAAGATCGAAAAAGTCACAAATAGTACCGAAACCGTCCTTTGTTTAGACAGTGACACTCTTATTTGGGGGAAAATCTCAGGACAAACATGTTGGACTTATAAAGCCGTAACTGCACGTGACGTGCGCGAAGAGACATCGCATAAAGAGGTCCCATTTAACCCGTTATGCCCTTTATTTGCGTAACTAGAGTAAAGAAGTAGAACAGACATTTACATCACGTGATCGAGTTTTGAATCATTTTGTTATACATTATTTCAACCTAATCAACACCGAGTACCACGTGACTATCACGTGATTTTGAATAGGCATATTTTGAATTCTATATTTATATTCTAATATTAATATTCTAATAGCTCGAACTAGTTGTCTGTGAATCACTCATTGTTTTCAGTTTCACGATCTAATGTTTATTATCATTAGTACTTTAAATTACTATTTATCGATTTCGAGGTAGTAAAACAACCCTCTGACGTCATCTCACATTGATTCGGAATTTAATTTAAACTTATATAATAATCTGAGGTGATGTTGTCATTCTATTTAATGCTATTCAGTTCATTAGTCACCACCCCTTGAACTTACCTAACATTGACATAAATCGATAGTTGACATTCTGTTCAATTAACACCACCCCCTGACCTGACCAACTTGACATGAATCGAAGTTGCCTTTCTGTTTAATAGACTAAACTCCTGGCCACCATAACATGAATTCCCTGAACCTTGTTTTTGGTTTGCCCTCAAATATGTCCATCTTTGCTGTGCGATTTGATCTCTTAATCTATACTACTCCACACCCACACGTTGTCCATCGATTTGCTATCAAACACAGCTGACAACAAATCTCTTTAATTTTCACTGCGCACTGTGACATCAAACATGTTGTCATGGAAATAAACAGAATGGCATATTTTATGTAACGGTTGAAAAGAAGTATTTATATTTGTACGTCCCTTACGCATCCGTTGTTATATCAACGACATGATAGTGAGATACGAGACATAGGATGGTGTAGACAAAAATATTGAAAATATAAGAGTTATTTTGTGCATTTTGTTTATTCTACTTTCGAGATGTTTTTTTTCAGATGATCTGCAGATATGTAATTGTTTGAATAAATATGATAGCTATTATTTTAACTTATTATGTTGTTATTGTTGCACAGTGGATTAGAACCCAAACTTGGTAGACAAGTTGTATAGACACTATAGAATAAATTCTGATTGGGTGTGCCCGGTTTTAAGTCATAAAGGATACACGTAAAAATATAATTAGCATATATTGTGGCGTACACGTCAGAGATCTCGGGACCTGCTTCAGGCTTGAGCGCTCAGCACGAACCGAAATCACGCCCTCGCGGTGAATTTAAGAGAACATATACTGATTCACACTCGTACGACATGACGATAGAGGGAAACGAAGCTATATATGGTCGGATGCTGTAGTGGTGAATGAAATTAATACAAACCGTCGTCAGCGACGCATATTAATGTGCTTCTGCAATCGCTATTTTCTTGCAATGCTACATGATATACGTGAAAAAATAATTGTTTTTAAAATCTTTTTTGCCGTTCATGTGCACGATGACTCGTAATAAATACCATAACCGCAAATGGATATAATTTCAATATAGAAATTGTTAATATCGTCATATACGTGTCGTTTTCCATGTTTGGGTCAAATAACAGATTGAAGAATGAGGGCGTGATTTCGGCACGAGCCGAGTCGGTCCTAAGTGGGTCCCGAATAACGTGAACGCAACTGCTGCAATCCCTCTGCAAACACAAAGGATTAACAATTTTGGAACGTGCTAAGATCCCGTAATGTGAACGTAGCAAGTGTTTACAGTCTACGGGGGGGGGGGGGGGTAATGATACGAACTATTCAAATATAATAAGTTTTTCATCATGATTTGTTATGGAGATAAGATATAATCATGACGTCATAGTTCCAGATTATGACAAAAAACGTTTTTATTGCAGATTTAGGAAGACCAAGACACAATTATTGAAACACCAAATTTGGCATTATACACAATTTATAAGTTCAATATAACGTCAATGACTGGGTGTGCCAAGGTCAGGTCAAGATCATTGTATGTTTCATCTAAATGCAATAAATTACGATATAATAATATATATCGACTTGCATTTTACAAAACTGTGTAGTGTGTTTTGTCCATGCAGAGGTCAAAGGTTGAACTACTAGTATGTAAAAAAATATAATTTGAATATTTCATGTATTAGATAACATGATGTCATAGATCCGAACACGAAGAAACGCTCTTATTATAGATTTCTGTTTTATATAACATGAACTACTGTGTGCTTTTCACCATTTTTTAAAATGTGAATATTGTGCAAAACATATTTTAAGGCTATACGTGGTTGGTGAAGGCTGTGTACAATGCTACTAAGAAACTGTACATTTTTGAAGATTTCGTAAGCAATTTAAATTCAGTGATTAGTTTTCGTGAAACTGTTGTTTGAAATGTACTTACAGTCACACAAACACGAAAGTTGTTACAGTCAAACGTTCTATCAACCGTATTAACAAAATAATTAATTGACTGAAGTATGGCAATGCAAAGTTTGGTTTTGTTTTTAAATAAATAATTGTGCATAATGAATTAAGACGTCATGTGTTATTCAATTCTTGGAATTTATGTTTCCCCTCCAATTTTCTTTCAAAGAAAGTAGCAGACAAACCTTCGTTTAAAGCGGGGGAGTCGTCACCT